ATTTTCTGCTTTAACTTTATTTAAAATATATTTTATATATTGTTATTTAATAATTTATAACAAGAATTTTTCAAATTATTTTGAAAAAGATTTTTAATTATAATTTAAAACTGTAAGAAAAAAAAATTTTCACATTAAATCTATATGTATTGATTTATTTTAAATTTAAAGTATTAATCTATATAATTAAAAATGTCAATGAGAAATGGGAAAAAGAAGGCTAGAGAATGGGAGGTAGTAACTGAAGTTTTAATTAAACTTTGAACTTGAAATTCAAATGAACAAACTTGTTTCTCCACACAGCGGCCTTGTTTATAAAGATTTGTGTTTAGGAGTTTAGGAGTTGAGAGAGAGAGTTGAAACCACAATAACGTAACCTCCTCGACTGTAGTGAGTTTCTCTGGCCACTACTACTCATTCACCTTAGGAGGTGAATAACATAAAAGATTAAAAAATCTCCATCGATAAAAATATTTGCATAAAAATTGTAATAATGTATTTCCAAATAATGATTCAAATATTAGTAAACCTGCTCTGATAGCTGTTATTGTTGGTTATAATAGTTAATAATAATAGTTAATAATAATTTAGTTAATAATAATAGTTAATAATTATTTTAGTTAATAATATTATAGTTATAATGTTAAAGTTGGTTAAAATAGTTCATAAACTTATTAAATATCATAAAAAAACCTAATAAAACCCAGATTTCCCCGGGGTTTTTTGGGTTTTTTTAGGGGGGTTTTATTGGGTTTTATTGGGCGGGTTTTTTTGAGCGGGTTTTTTAATGCCAACCCTGATATATATATATATATATATATATATATATATATATATATATATATATATATATATATATAATATATATATATACATATATATGTATATATATACGTATTTATATATATATATATACATAAATATATATATATATATATATATATATATATATACATATATATATATATATATATATATATATATATATATATATATATATATATATATATATATATATATTATATATATATATATATATATGGTTTCAATAATTGTTATAATGATATAATGGTTCCAATAATTTATATATATATATATATATATATATATATATATATATATATATATATATATATATATATATAATATATATATATATATATATATATTATATATATATATATATATATGGTTTCAATAATTGTTATAATGATATAATGGTTCCAATAATTTATATATATATATATATATATATATATATATATATATATATATATATATATATATATATATATATATATATATATATGTATATATATATATATATATATATATATATATATATATATATATATATATATATATATGTATATATATACATATTTATATTTATATATATACATAAATATATATATATATATATATATATATATATATATATATATATACATACATATATATGTATATATATACATATATATATATATATGTATATGTATATACATACATATATATGTATATATATATATATATATATATATATATATATATATATATATATATATATATATATATATATATATATATATATATATTATATATTATATATAAATTGCTAAAAAAATATCAAATAGTACTAGAGACCTTTCAGAATTTATCATCAGTAATACTATTGCAAATGTTATTATCACAATGTTGATATATGTAAAAAGTTATATAATAGAAGTATTTAATTGCAGTTTTGTAACTTACCATTATATATATATATATAATATATATATATATATATATATATATATATATATATATATATATATATATATATATATATATATATATATATATATATATATATATATATATATATATATATATATATATATGTATATAGAAAACACAGGAACATACATTTTGTAACTTTATTAGTTACTGAATCTTTCTTAAGTTTAATCTAACTTAATTTAGTGAGTTACATTTGTTATGCCATCATAAAAGGAAGTATTAGTTGAAGATTTTTTTGTTTGTGAAAATAATTTTCATAAACAAAATAATTTTCAACAAATAATTTTTATTTTTTAGTTAAAAAAAAAAAAATAATGCTGAGAGAATGGCTCCATAGTTTTTTTGTGTATTTTCATGCAGCCAAATGCATGATTGTCAAATTTATATGTTGAATTGCATATCTGTTGATAACCTTTTTTCTTTAACTACATATAAAACAAATATTGAATCTGACAAAAAAGTTTTCGAAATTCTTTCAAAAATGATTGCAAAACATGAAAGTTTAACACAAATTGAAGTTGATTACATCACTAATTTTGAATGGAAATCTAGTACTTTTTATGTAATCCCTAAAATTCATACATGTAATGAAATTATTTAAAAAGGTTCAGGAATAAGGCTCTTTATTTATCGTAATGAAACCACTGAAAGAATTAATTAATAATTTATCGTAATGAAAAAATAAAGCCGAAAGAATTAATTAATAGGTTGGCCTATTATTGCTGTAAAAGATTCATCAACATCCCATCTAAGCCAACTTCTTCACATAATCTCCTATTGTAAAGAAACAGAAGAGTTTTGTAAAAGATGATTGAGATTTTTAAAGAAAATTGTTTAGAATAATGGATTCAGATAGTGTCATACTAACATGTAACATTGTAAATCTCTACACAAGCATTCTACATAATCTTATTTTACAAGCATTAAAATTCTGGATTTACCACTGATTTTATCAGATTTAACTTCTTTCATTCTTAAAAACAACAATTTCTACTTTGACGATCAATTGTTTTGTTAAAATACAGGAACAGCCATGGGCACAGATTTTGTACCAGACTATACTTATTTTACCATCAGCTTTTTAGAAGAAACAATGCTTGTTCCAAAAATTTTACCAAAATATTTTTCAAAAGAAGTATTTAATTATTGAACAGTTTTATTTTAGATATGTTGATGATGGTTCAACATATTGCCAAAATGTCTAAATATTGCTAAGTTCTAAATGTCTCTTATAGAAATATATGATCCAGTTAATTTTATAATTGATTTTGGCATCAAATTCAATGAGAACAAAAAAATATATAATCTAGTTAATTTTCTAGACATATCTATTATCTTTGAAAACAAAAAATACATTAAAATGGATATTTTTTATAAAGAAACAAACACTCATGATTATTTAAACTTAACCATTTATCATCCATATCATATAAAAAAGAACATAACTAAAACCTTTCTAAAAGAATAATTGTTTTTACATCTGATTATGCTATGCTGATTATGTCTAGCAGAACCTTGAATATGGTTAAAAGAGCATCATTACCCTGGTTGTGTTTCATAAGCATTTCATAATGCAAAGTTACAAGGGCCAGCAAAATAAAACAATTAAAAGAAGTTTTCCTTTGGTGACTACTTTCTATAGTAATTTAAAGTGTCAACCAATTTTACCTGAAGCTAACCTTTTACTTAGTTTATCTTATAATTAAAAAAGATTAAAAAAGTTCTTTTAAGTATTAAACCTGTAATTGCCTACAAACAACCACCAAATTTACTGAGAAAAAAAACGTGCTCAAAATTTTACTCTATGTCATCAATCAAAATAATGGGACTATTCAAATGCAAAAAAAGACTATGTAAAATCTGCTTTTATCTGATTATATTTACAAGAAGTAGATAGGTTTGAGAAATCCAATGACACTATTTGGAACAAGTCACAATAGCAAAAATAACATTTATTACCTAAAATGCTTATCATGTAATGGACTATCTACTTATACTGGAAAAACAAACAATTTAAGAAACTGCACAAATGGACATATTTACAGTTGCAAAACTGAAAATTCAACAGATAGTTTTAACAATCATGAATATGATTGCATTAATATACACAAAAACTTTGGTGCCATTCTTTCAACTTTTTATTTTTCTTGAACTAAAAAATAAAAATAATTTGTTGACCTTTGATTAAACTACTTTTATTATTTAGTTCGAGAAAAACGAAAAACTGAATGAATGGCTCCATAGGTTTTTAAGAAAGTTATTTTCTTAAACAAAAATAATAAAACCTATAACTAATACTTCCTTTTATAATAACATAACAATGGTAACTCATAATTACAAACTCTATCACTTTTTTTTTTTATAACTTTTTGATATTTTTTTGCAGAAAAATGCCTACATACGCCAATATTTCTGCCAAATTTCTTTACGGCAGGCAGCAGCACATGGGTACAGCTGCCCAAATTATTATCCTAGATTAGCTCCTGTATATATATTTTTTCACATACTAAACAATATGTTATAGTGTAATACAATCATTTAAGTAATGAAATAATCAATAACTTCAACTTGCAAAATTTAAGTTAAATTCACTCAATAAATATGCTGAAAATAGTAATGAACTACTAAACTGTAACTTTAAAAAATGCAACAACTCTAGTGAACAGACTATTAATCATAATATGTTATATTATATTTTTATAATAATTGTTTGGTTGAAGATACTTTAAAATCTTCCGATGTTGAGTTTAATGGTGACATCATATTTTGATGAAAACCTTCAAAATTTGACTAACAACTCTGACTATGGCTGTAACGTAGCAGCAATGTAGCTGATAAGCAGCATGGATATTTTCCTTCTTGTTTCAGTGACGATAAAGATGCTAACAATGAACTTACTTTAAGGGAACTGCTTATTTGCTGATCAATAAATCACAGAGTGTTTAAAGCCTTACTTAAGATCTAAAACAACATCTATAGTTAAATAGCTTAATAATTAAAAAAATAATTTAAAAAAGTTGGTATGTGTTCTTGTAACAAAATTTATAATATCCATGTGAAATTTATTAATATCTTCTAGTAGAGTTGCTTATTTATATGCATATGTAATAATTGTGCATACTTAAGCTAGCACTGTACAAATATATTTAGTACATTTTATGTTTTAAAATGATGAAGCTGTTAAATATAAATAAATGAATAAATAGTGAACTACTAACTTTGTTACTTTGAAAACTTGCAATAATCTCAAGCATTGAAATATACTTAAACCAGCCTCTATCTGAATCAATACTTCAACAATGTTTAAAAATACGACCTGTAGAAAAATGTTATTTTAGTTGTTTTTCTATAACAACAACAACAACAACAACAACAACAACAACAACAATAACAACAACAACAACAACAACAACAACAACAACAACAACAACAACAACAACAACAACAACAACAACAAAAAAAAACAACAAAAACAAAAAAAAACAACAGCAGCAACAACAACAACAATAACAACAACAACAAACTATTTATTGTCCTTTAATAGTTTATTTAAAATAATTATAAAAAACAACAGTAACAAAGATAATAATAATAATAAAAATTATACTAATAACAATTATCACACAGTGGTGGTGTAGTGGTAGAGCGCTTGCTTTATAAGTAAGAAGTTCCAAGTTCAATATTTACCAAATCCCTTGTAGTATTGAGCTTAACTTGTTTCTCAGCGCAGGGACCTTGTTCATCAAGGTTTGTGTTTTGGAGTTAAGAGAGGGTTACACTTGAGGAGGCTGTTGTTATAACCACAGTAATTTAGCCTCCTCAAGTGTAGTGGTCTTCTTGGCATTGGGTAGGTGATTAACATTAAATCACAAAAAAATCACAATAATAATAACAACAATAGTAACAATAACAATAGTAAAAATCATTATAAAAAATTATAGTTAAAATATTTGTATTATACCTGACAAAATCAATAAACAAGAGCAATTATAATTTTAATATTGAAATAAAAATTAAAATAAAATAATTTTTTTAAATTATTGTGAATAAAATTTTAACATTTTTTTAATTAAGTTTAAAAAAAGATTGATAAAAATGGTGCTACTCTTATAGAAGTCTAATCAAAAGAGTACCATCAGTTTTTGCATATACCATGCCCAGTTAACCAGCCCAACTGGGTCCCAGCTGGGATTGACTGGGATTGAGCTCAGATTACTGGGATTGGGTTGAGGCTGGGATTTGTTCTGGGTGCCAAATGGGTCCCATATGGTGTTAATAAGTTTGAGATAAGTTAATGTTTACTTTTTTTTAGACTTGTTAAATGTTTTATCGAACTAAAGGCATATTCTGTAATTATACAATAGACAAATGTTAAAAATTTTTAAAAATAGTTTATATGGTTTAGTGTGCCTACAGTAATGGCTTAGTGTGTTTAATTTTTTTTTTTTTTTTCAAACAAACCTCATAGACTTTTTGAAAAACCTTTGAATTTGCTATGTCTTGTAAAGTGACTTTGAGAAATTTTTTTTACAAAAGATAGCAAAAAAAATTATTTACAAAAAAATTAAAATCATACATTTATTAAATGTAGGATTTTACATATTTATAACTAATATAATTGATATATTTCTTATAATATAAGTAATATATTATCAAATATATAACTTATAGAAAGTGTTAAATCTTACATTTATATTATGCATTTACAAATGATATCTAAAGTTTTTATATAGTAGTTTCACTTAGTAAAACCTTACTAATAATAATATTATCCCTTTACAAAACATGGTAATACTATGTTTTGTAAAGTATAATATTTATAATTTGAGTTATATTACAAATATTATAACTTAAATTTGTAGTATAAGGTTTTATATGAAAAAATATTTAAATGATTTATATTGCGAATTATTTGTAAATAATAGTAATTAATAATAAAAATGATAGACTGCACAGTTAACCACGACAACTGGGTCCCAGCTGGGATGTAACTGGATTACTGGAACTGAGTTATGGCAGGGATTTGAACTGGGTAAAAGATGGGTCCCATATGGTGCAATAATTGCAGCAAAAATTATGCTTAAAAATTTGATAAAATGTTTTAAAATGACATACAGTAACGCAAATTGATTTGGATTGAATATACACTTGCATTTGGAGTGAACAAACTTAATTTGGTTCATTTTTAGTATTTCTGTAAAAAATAATTATTTACATATCAGTTTTAATTCTATAATAAAAGTATAAATATTTTAATAGCAATATTTAGACATTCATTTAACAAACAATTTTACAAAAAAAATAATAATAAAAATGTGGCATACTCTTAAACTTCTTAAATGCTCTAAACTTCATAGCTTTTAATAAGTTTGAATGTCAAGGTTTACTTTTTTACAGACTTGTGAAATGTTTTATCAAACTGTAGACATATTTTTTTTTTATGCAATAGACAAATGTTGAAAATTTTTCAAATTAGTTTATATGGTTTGGTGTGCTTACAGTTATGGCTTACTTACTAAGTTACGAAAACAAAATACACTAAGTTAGTGTGTTTCGTTTTAAATTATCTTTTTTAAGCAAATCTCAATGTCACTTTACAAAATATGGTAAGGATTTACTAAGTAACACTGCCATATATAAACTTTACATATTATTTATAAATACATAAATGTTTCATATTTTCTATAATTTATATAATTAAATGTATAATACTTATATTGTAAATACTGTAACTTATTTAATTGGTCAATTAATTGTAAATAATAGTAAGTAATTACAAAAACTGTTTTAATGTTTACCTTTATTTGTCTGTTATAATGAAAAAATTATCACATTTGTTTGAATATATTTATTTATTAAATACATTTTTTAAATTCTTTAAAATATAAAAGTGTATATATTTTGATAGCAATATTCAGACATTTGTTTAAGAAACAATTTGGCTAGTCTAAAAGAGGGAAATGTTGAGTTTTAAGGTTTTAAGATGTCTTTTAATTAATTATCACAGGGTGTTATTTTTGTATAAAACTTTATTAAATTTTAAATTTTAATAAAACTTTATTAATTTTATTTAAGAGGTTCAATAGTATCTATGTTTTGTTTTTAGAGTTGGTTTGTGTTGATTTATGATTAACAACAGAAAAAAGATTACTTCAACAAATGTTAGTTTTTACACATAAAAGTTATGTAAAATCTCCTATGAAGTGATTCATCTAAATCTAGTAAGTTTACACTTAATCTGACAACATTATTTTGAATATTTTGGTTTTAGAAAGTTCCTAAAAGTTTTCTTTTCCCTGAGTTTTAATATTTTAAACTTTTAGTTTACAGAGTTTGATAAAATAAATAAAATAATTTCTGTATATTAAAAATATATAGAATTTGCAAAATATACAGGTTTTTCTTAATATTGACCTGGGCTTCTGTAAATGGATAAATTCTGTGAATAGAAGATGGACTGTGAATTGTTAGGAAATGTAAATGTTATTATAATAGCACATATTTTTAGATCAAGAATAGTTTGTTTTACATTATTTTCATTTAAGGTTTATGAATATATATGATAAAAAAATTTTTAAAAACTACATGTACAGTAGTGTTACATGATTTGAAATGAATATACATTTAAAGGATTTTTTACATAAACTTTATTTTGTACCTCAATGGTAGTTTAATTTTATTTTCATTTATCTGTTATTTAGTAGAATAATATTTACTAGTAATATTTATATATGGTAAAGCGTGTATATTATTCATGCAATATAATTTCAATAGTCAATTTTTTAATAGTTTAATGGCAGCATGTATTGTCATCAATACTTGCTGCCATTGTCACAATGTAGCAAAGTTTAAAAGTTATCTATGTATAATGATTTTTTAAACCAATTTATTAGGGTGTTGGATGTTTTTTAGAATCTGCTGTGAAATAAATTTAATATATAATCACAAAATGTAGCTCAAAGGCAACATGAAATTAAACAATAAATTTTGGTCTATAATAATTGAAATACATTATGTTTGTCTAATCCTGAATATAACTATATATATATATATATATATATATATATATATATATATATATATATATATATATATATATATATATATATATATATATATATATATATATATATATATATTAATATAAGTAGTCTACGCTTGTTTATAATTGTAAATTTTCATTGTGAAAATAATTTTAATACAAAATCTATTGTGGTCAAAACTACAATTCTTTTTAATTTTTTTCAATATGTTTAAATTGTAACAAATAATTATTTTCAAGTAATAATGTAACCTAAAATGATTATTGCTTAATCAATTACAATCAAAATGTGATATTGATTATTTTTGCATTTATTTAATTATATAAAAGATATTAAACTCTCACCAACTGATTTAAGGGTTTGATGTCATGTTAACTTGAGTGAAGATGGTAACATAGTAGTAAATGGTTACATAGTAGTCATGTTATATTGTTTTTGTTTACAAGCCTATTTATGTCATGCCTAATTAGTAACATCAAATATTTACCATGAAATAACATTGTTTTAGATTCCCTGCAGGATTCCTGTTAAAAAGAAAAACTGAAGAAACTTTAATACTAGATGATGGCAACTGAAGAAGTTTAAACACTGTTAATCATGGTGTCATATCAAGGCTTCAGTTCTCCATTACTTATTTTTGAATTTTATTATATATGTTATGTTTATTTAATTTTTTATTTTTGTTATTTTTGTAACAACAAACTATGAGAATAACATATTGTACTGCCCTGGGTCTCTACTATAATCTGGCTATGGTTATAACCCGTATATCAATTTATATACTGTATTGAGCTTGTGATTTGTACGTGTTTTTGTTTGCCTAGTATTTGTTAGTTATATGCAAAATATGGCATGGTATGGCACACTGCATGGTATTCCCTAAATAATATTATCAATAAATATTTTTATCTATACTTTGTAAATATATATGCTATAAATTATTATATCATTTAAATGTTTATTTTTATTAATAAATTTAGTTTTAAAGTGGATGAAAGCACTAAAGAAGCGAAATGATAAACTTTAAAGCAGAATTTTGTCATGTGATTATGGTGGCGATATGAGATAACTACTTTGACAGAATATTACTATCGTAGAACAGTTTTGCATCAAATCAATATTATTTTTTTGTTGCTTAAAAATATTATGAAATTCAAATCTGTTTTTTCAATTGATTCGTAAAAATTATGTCAGACCAAATATTCATTTGCCTAATACATTTTATTGTCCTGACAGCGAATTTAATATAGATAATATAAATAAAAATGCATATATATAAAATTAAAATTTTAATTTTATATATATGTATATATATATATATATATATATATATATATATATATATATATATATATATATATATATATATATATATATTTATATATATATATATATATATATATATATATATATATATATATATATATATATATATAACATATTCTATGTGTTAGTCTATTTTTGTAAAATAAAATTGTGATGGAAAGGAATAAAGTTTAATTAAAACCCTAGAAGGTTTTAATTTCACCAGAAAGGTGAATTTTGACACTTTTTAATTTTGTTGGGATTTTGATAGAATTGGACTTCAGGACTTGTTTCAGCATTTTCATAAAATAACTAGACTTCAATCCGTTATTACTATTGCTGTTTAATGAAAAATTACAATTTATAATGATATTTGAATAGTATGATATCCAAATAAATACTATATATATAATAATAATAACAACAATATTTAGTTTATGTCTTAAACAAAATCATTTTTTTAATAAAATTTTACAAGTATAAAACAAAGTTGTTGATATTTGATATTAAATTGATAAGTAAACTTGTACCTAGTCAATATAAAGCACTAGTTGGTCACTAATTATAGTACCCAGTCCCCATTCAATTTGAGATTGCATTGTTTTTTTTTTTGTTTTTTTTAATGTGTATTTAGGTGCCCCAAGAAGTCCTTAGGGTCTTATCACAGAGCACCGCGGAAGAGCATTTAATAGGAAGTTCACGCCTCCTTCCCAACCGATGTCGCAAAACTTGCCCAGAGGTGGGGTTTGAACCACGGATCTTACGTTTCTGAAACAAGTGCGCTACCACTGCGCCACGGCTGCTCTAAAATTGTCTTAATATTTAAGAAATTCTTTATAGAAGAATGATTAAAATAAAGGTAAAAAAAACTTACAATAAGTTCCACTAAATTGAACGGCGATGCACAATAACCAGAAAATGACAAAGAAAATATTTTCAGAACCACATCGAATATGAAGAGTGTTAAAAATATCTTTTCAGAGATGCCTTAATTATTATAATTATGATAATTATGATAACTATTATATATAATAAAAATAAAAAGCGTTAAAATTTCATTTTGATGAGATTTTTTTTTAAATGAGATAGAAATGTCTTAATTATAAAGTTAAAGATAAAATATAACAGTTATCTATAACAGTTAAAGATATAAATAAACAAAAAACTATTAATTAAAAAACTTTAGATAAATACTGTTGATCATCATTATTACTAAGATCATTATAATTATTACAACAATTACTAAATAAATTCTTACTTTGAGTATCAGTTATCCATTTTGATTGATTAAAATGTTTAGTTGCTAACATTATTGAATTAAGAACAACCATAAAATATACCAGCCAAAAGTAAATTTGATGCTTAACTACAAAACGAACTTTAATTTGTAAATGCTTCATTTGAGCATCTAATTTTTTCATAGAGGAACACCTAATAAAATATTTGTAGCTTCCATTTTGATTTAAAGAATCATTCCATAAAGCTTCTGGAGTATTTACAATGAACTCAAATTGTTCACTGAATATTAGTTTTTCTGAAATTAAAATGATTATAAAAATTTAAGTTATATATATTATGATATTTCGATTAAAAAAACATTTTATTGAAAAACTTTTCTTTACTTTCAAAACTTTGAATTAAAAAAATTTTTAATTTCAAAATCTCTGATACCTCCAATAGAAATCCACTCAGAATAAATGTCACAAACTTTAGACATTTGATTTTCTTGACGAAGCCTCAAAAATGTTTTTCTTTTTTCAAACCTTTCTCTTTCTTTGGTAAATTCGCTATGCATATGAACTTTATATTAATTGATATAAATAACAATGATATAACCATATTTGTTAGTATATATAAAAAAAATAATTTTATCATTTTAAAGAAGTCAATGTCATTTATTACGGTTACTGAAAAAAATCTGTAGAAGTTACATACAAGAATTTTACTCAAAATAAATGTATAATACATATCTTTATTTAGGATTATTGTCAATGAATAT